TATGTAAGAATCTCTGCTTCTCAGTGCTGTGCTGCCATCTGTTCCCTGTACACACATCCATGCTTCCATGAATTGCTTTTCCTTCTGTGCCGTTTGCTAAATATTCCATCCCTTGTCATAGTCTTCTGGTCCTTTGCCCCATTTGCTAGAACATGCGTTCCAGACCAAATTAATTTTCCTTGCAGCCTCTTTTTCCTTTTCCCCTGCCTGTATAGCCTATGCACCTTGTATCTGTGTGTATCACTGTCGTCTTGTTGCCCACCAGGTAAGCAGTCCAGGAGAGTTTCACTGGTCAGACCTTTTCTCCGAAGTTTTGATTTCTGGTAAAGTAAACACTGATATTGAAAACATTAGTTTTCTATGTAAAATCACTTTAGGAGTTTGGGAGCAGAGGAATCTTCTAGGACTGTCTAATCTCTGCTGTGCCTTCCCCCTCCCTTTTTTTTGTTGGTTGCTGTGCAATATGTGCAGACATGAAATACATGAAATAGAGATTATTCTAGTTTTGCACCATCTGCTTATCCAGTACAATTTTAAAGTTTAAACTTGAGCCCAGATGTACCCGTCCAATGTTCTTCACAACTGATTATATGTAAACCTGAGTAGGCTTTGGGTTTTTTTTTTCTTTGGTGATGGTGGGGTTGGATAAGCGCCATGAATTGAAGCAGCAGATGCTTACAGTAGCAGGTTCTACTCCCTCCCTGCCCCTAAACTTATTGGAAACTTTGAGAAAATCCTAGCCAAGAAGAGATGTTGTTATTCTTATGTTCTTATTTTGTTGTATTTCATGTTAGTCTTGCTGCCTGTTACCCTTTATTTGATGCGTTGCGTCAGCAGCCTTCCTAAAATTCAGAACCGTAGAAGAGATCCTGAGTTAAGTCTCATTCGCTGCTGTTGCATATACATCAGGTTTCAAGTCCTGGTCAAATTCTTACCTGAAAGGATTGAGGGTTTGGACTGTATGGCTTTGCTGTTTTGTGGTTTGGGTTTTTTTTTTAATTCCATTGGGGGGTGGGGGGGGGCGGTGTTTCTTGTGCCACCGAAGTTCTTATTAAAATACTCTTTCAGAATCTCAGTGTTTTGATGGCTGTGGAAGTTGGAAATGTATTTGTAGATGGAGTTCGTATGACCAGCCTATTCCATTTTAGTTAAAGTCAGTTTTGCTTTTTCATTAAATAGCTTGTGTCCTTTCTGTTTGGTTACCTTTGTCACATTAGACCAGAGATCAATCATATTCCTTCTCAGCCAAGCTCTCCATTTCCTTTTAACCAGGAAAGCAGCGTGTCCTTTTTATCTTGTTCATTGGGCCTGTTTCAGCTCCAAGTTTCTGGAATGTTACAGTGTCAAAATAAAACTTTAAGAAAAAGTTTTATGTTTATATGCGCATTGTATGGTTTTGTCACAGCCAAAGTTGTGGAAGTTTATTCTGCTGTTTACTGTGATTTAGGGAAAAAATACCATCAATTTTGTTGTATACTATATATCTTATATTATGCATACCCCATAAGAAAGAACAGAATTGTAAAGAAAAGAGTTTTCTAGCATTTGGGAGAATCTAGGGAGGATACACTGAATGAAATAGGTAACATAAACCTACAGTGAAATTCTGTAAACACTGAAAATACTGGAAGATGGGAGAGTACTTGAAGGGAAGGTATCACTCTGTACTTGCCTAGTCTCATCCCTAAATACTTGCTTTTGCATCAGTGTGAGACAAGTGTTAAGCTAAGATTGTTTTCTTGGTTTTGTCCAGAGCTTCTCCTTTTATGTTACTTGCTCTAAGGGGTTTCTTAAAGTCATCTATGTCTGCTACACGCGTTATATAAAGTCTTTCATTAGTGTAAATTTGATGCTACTTCTCTGTAATGGGTTTGCTTTTTTCATTGCATTTAGTAAGTAGTAAGGTATTACTGCAGGTATTGATTAAAAATGTAGAAGTATGTAGGTAGTTTTCTGGTGCTTCTGTAGTCAAACAAAATTGCATTTTGTGTGGATTGCATTTGATATACATGCATCTCAGATATAAGTCTCCAGTCTTGCTACCAGCTGTTGGCTATTGATGTTCCCTCTTGTAGAGCACATAAGGTGGAGCAGCTGTGGACAATCTTCTGACTGCTGTCCTGCAGTTTCTGTCCTGCAAATAGTTTTCTACATGTCATAAACTACTGGGTGGCGTGAATATTCTTCAGTTTAACAAGAGACTGAAGGTGCTAGAGACAGTTGATATCCAGCTCTTGTTAATCATAAAGATAGAAATATAACCTCTCCTAGAGAGATTAGCAGAGTTCACACTTTGCTTTATAATGCCAAAGTTGAACCAAGCCTAGTTAGTCAACAGGGGGTGGGTGCTGATCCTCTGGGTACCAAACTGGTACTGATTTTCTGATGCTACCAAGAATCCTACTGTTTGTCTTTTTAGTCTCCAGCATTAGTTTCAGTACCACTGTATCTAATACCAATACCAAGCTTTCTGTTTTAAAAAGCAAAATCCTGTCTTTTTTTCAGCTCCAAGCCCAATGATTTTGAGATTTCTAGTCATCCTCCCAAAACCTTCTGTAAGAGGAGTATAGCTCAAATTTTTAGCTTGCTCTACATCAAAGCAGCTCACCAGATTCCATCTGCACAGAATGTTTAAGCTTTTCCTAAATATGACATCTCTTGGCACCCCTTCTTTTTGAATATAGAGCCTGCTCAATCCCAGTCCATTAGTTTCCTTTTTTGCTTTATTGGTATGGCAGGAGCCTCTGCGTTGAAATTATTCTCCTTACTCCTACAGATGTCCCTGTCACTCATTCAGCACTTACTTCCCAGAATTCTGATGAGAAAAATTAAATTACTTCAGGAAACTGCAAGACCAGCAAGGTGAAGATGATAATGGGATAAAGTAGAGTTGAGTTATAGTAAGGAATAGCTTCCCCTGTTAACTCTTACATACTACATAGGAGGATATCTAATTCTTCCAACAGATGACACGTTATACTTTCTTAACAGAAATTTGTAGTCTTTTCCAGTAGTTATTGCAAAGAACTGCAGATATTTTCAGTACTCAACAGGCTGTAGCACAAGAAAATGCTTGGATTATCTGGTCTTTTCCATGCTTACTTTCTTTTCACACAGGGAGCATAAAAAAATCTCTTGTGTCAGAAATTTCAGCTACCATTCTTGTAGTATGTTTGAAGTTTAGAGCTTTAATCTCCCAAAACACCCAAGAAACAGGCAAGAAGCTTAAGAGATCATTTCTGAGGTTTAAGTGAGTAAAATGAGGAGAGTTACAAAAGGCCATGCAGTGCAGAAGTAGCACAGCAGGAGTACGCTATTCTCTCTCTGCATCTAGATCCTTCCCCGAAGGGATGTTGCTTTCCAAAAAATGTCACTTGCTCACGTACCTCTTAGGTTACCATCCTGTCATCTTAAATTCTTTTGCTATTAGTGAGAGCATTGGTAGTGGTGGAAATAATGTTTCTGTTCTTTTTGCCAAACAACCTCATCAGTCTGATTTAGTGCGGTAAATTATTTGATCTGGACTTTATTTGTAAAAAGGCACTTGATGCTGTTTTAAAAACTAAGATATCTTAAATACTAGCTTTTTGTTTTAAAGGACAAAAGTCAGGGTTATTTAAGGGACTGTTCATATTGTCATAATCTGGATAGGGTGAACTATAGTTGCTATTGCTAGAGCATCAGATTTATAGTAACCTTGATGAATGAAGTGATGTACCAGAAACTGGTTAGTCTGTAAGCCTTGGTGCTCACTGTCTGATGAGTGTGTGGGGGGAAAGTGCTACAGAATGTAATATGATAAATAATTCATCGTATTTAGATGACTGTTGAAGGAGCCTTAGTTCAGAGATTTTTCTCAAGATTTTTGCATTAAAAGCAAAGAGCCCCCTCTATCAATCCTGCATTCCCTGAGTGAATTTGATGCCTGCAGGCAATGAGAGTGCAGCTAGGAAGAGCAGCACATTACCCGGTAGCTTGCTGCACACACCCTGGCTCTCCCAGTGTTGCCTTGTTATAATCTGGCATCACGTGGTCTCCTGGCGAAGGTGGTGGCTGCAGAACGTTCCCTTTAGCTAGGAAGGTTTTACAAGTGGATCTGTTGATCCTGAAGTCCAAACTATTCAACTGAAGGGAAAACTTACTTGTTTTGAGTTCATATTTTATGCTGACAGCATGTAAGTACCTCACTTCAAGAAATTTTTGTCCTGAAGAAACTATTTCTATTTTACTGCCTGCCTTTGTAGTTAAAATCAAATGCATTTAGGTTAGTTTTATTAGTACACAGTGCTGCTTAAGAACACAATCCGTTTTTCCAGGATTAACATTGTACATAATTCTATAGAGGGAGTTTGCATCTCTCGTGCCATTTACAAATGGATCGAGATTCATGCCAGAATTCTGGATTTTTTTTTTCCTTTCCTGAGCTCCCATGGGAAAATTGTCTTATTCAGAAGATGTTTTGCATCTTTCCCAACTTGTAGTGCTAAATTCTTTATCTAGTTCAAGTCCAGTAATTTTAAAGTACAGATGCTTTTCATTCCCATTTCTTAGCATTTAAAATTTAAAATATACAGTTCTTGATTATAAACTGACATTTCACATGTATGTTCTGAAGGTTTTTTTGTCATTGATTAACATTTGTCTGTATCTCTTTATTACTATAAAAATGGTAACTATTAGTAGAAATGTTTGTCTTTATTAGAAAAAATAGTTACTGTGGACTATAGATTAAAACATGGTGGTTTAAAGTATAATTTGCTTATTTGCTTTGTCTAATCACAATTATTTCAAATTTTATTTCAGTTAATATTGATAAATGTAAAATTTATCATACATTTTAATTACAAAACATAATTCTTAATAATAATGTTGGAATTTTTTTCTTGCATTGAAAAAGCTGTAAGAAATGCTTATTCTCTTTGAGTCTTTCAGCATTTTTGTGAGTGAATTAATTGCTGAAGTTCAGGGGAAATTAATTGCAATGCTTCCCTTTCTTACAGAATATAGCCGTTTTGAAGCTAAAATACATGATTTACGGGAACAGATGATGAACAGTAGCATTAGTTCAGGATCAGGATCTTTGCGAACCAGCCAGAAGAGATCCTTATATGTCAGGTAATCATCTTTTCCACAGGTTTGCTAGTGTGTTTTTCTGCAGACTTGATATTTCTGTATTTGCATTTTTGTACACTTATTTACTCATTATTGAACTCAACAAATGGATATTTGTATGCAAAATATATTAAAACTAAAACTTAATTTAGGTTGATTAATGTAATATAGCTGAAAAAGAAGTAATAGCCCTGAGAACCACGTATGAACTTTGATGTGCTATTAGTTGCTTTTTGTCCTGCCTCTCAGAGAGATGATAATCCTTCAGCAAAAAACATATATTTATTCTTTAAGTCAGTGTATGTGAAGTCTTAACAACTTGCTTTAATTCAGTTTGTGTTTTTGTGTCAGTAGTTTTCATATTCTCCCTTGTTCAGTTCTTGAGTTCACATATATACTCTCCCTTTGCTTAAGCTTTGACAGATTTCCATCTCGTTTCCTTCAGCTTGCTTCAGTTGTGTTCTCAGCTTATATTAAGAAATTTTATTTCTATACCCAATAGCATTTTGTTATAGAATATTTTCCATGGTAACCAAGAGAGCAAATTCATCAAAGCAAATGAACTAAATATTCTTCATTACTTTATTCCTGTAGAATTAAATGTAAAGAAGGCTAAAAGGAAGTGGAAATACAAGAGAGCATGAAGCAGTTAAGAAAATAGGTGGTTTCACTGCAAAATTGTGGCAAGGTGCAGCTCATTAATGTGCCAGCTGACTCCTACAGCAGTTACGCTGATAAAGCATAATGTTTGAAATATGGCATATGAGTAAAAGGGTTGAATTTTTAAAAATAAATTGATTTTTGAGTTCACTGAACCAGTTCATCTCTGGGTTGAATAAGAGCCAGCAGTAGCCTCTTGGCAGGGACCAGAATATTTCAGTAGAGCAGATGAGACTTCCGTAGTGCTGGTGCTTGGGTTAAACTTGGTTTAAAATGTTATAGAACCCCGCTGGCTTACCTGCTAAATCCCTAGGCTCAGGTGCTACTGACTTTTTCCATTTGAAGCAGATACTGTTTTGTTCATGGTGCTGTATCTGTTGAGCTATGGGAAAGGAAGCAAGTCTTACACAAGGCAGTTACCTGAGTAGTTGTGTCCATGCTCAGAAAACTCAGTCCTTTGCAACCTGTTTCTGAATGCTTTGAAACAAGTATAGCAAATTACTCATACAGGGCTTCTGTTCAGGGTGACTATAACACATGGCCCTTATGTTTTGACCTATTATTTTAGTAACTTTATCTGGATTCTGGTTTTGCAGAGCTGATATTTTTCTATTTTTTTTTTTTATACTTCGTCTGCCTTAAATATTTTTTGGGGTCAAAATTTAGATCTCTAAGCATAAATGCCTGAAACACTAAGGATAAGTGCTTGATATCACAGTTATCCATATCTTAGAATTTCCCCAGGTAGATGTAAATATGGATATTGTGGTGAGATCTTCCTTTCCATAATCCCAAGATTTATCTCTTTAGCCCTCATCATATAACTAAGCCTAAACAATTCTAAATGATTTTATTTTGCTTGGTTAGCTATAGCCTGGTTAGGTTCTAAACCGCTTATTCTCATGTTCACACATGGGCCTGGTATTTTAGGCTACTGACAAGCATTTTGGGTTATGTGGCTTTTATTCCACCAATGGAAGTTGTTATGTGTCAGTGACTATGGCTGAGCTTTTGACTTTGCCAAGTGCTGCAGAAAATGCAGCCTTCTCCAGGCTGTTGGCAGAAGCCTCGAGGAGATGGGTGATTCCCTTTCCAAGAAAGGTTTTTGAGACTCTGTAATCAGCTTTGTTATAAGTCAGAACAAAAATCTAAAATGCAGAAATTCCTCAGGAAAAGTACTTTTCCACCCACGTTTCTTTAACAGAGGGTGCTGCTAGGGCTTTTGAGATATACTCTTGTCATCACACCAAAAGATGCCAAAGATCAGTAGGCAATTTGGTATGCCAGGATGGGTTCACATCTGTTCTGTCTTGTTTCTGATGTAATTTTGACCTCACTGAAGTAAGTTTTGTGAGTCTCTTCACATATTGCTGGATACTGACAGAATATGTTAGTTATCCAGCTTATTCCGTATTATAAGTCACTCTGGTATGATCATTCTGTGCTTTTAATTGTACCGATTCAAAGGCAATTTTAGTAACCAAAGTATCTTTTTTTTTTTCTGTAATATTTGGTTTTGTATGTGCCTTAAAGGATTCCAGTTATATAACGTAATGCTGAATTGAATGGTAAATCCAACAGTAAAATGTTTATAGGCATTCAACCACAATTGTAGAAAACCTATGGAAAGTACTAAAAATAATAATCTGTGGTGATTTCACAAAATCATGGTAACGAAGTAGCAAACAAAATGTGTCCTTGTAACTGAAACTTGCTATCTTTATGAACAGTCTGCCTGTAAACAGCGTTTTGGGGGCGTTATGTAATACTAAGGCAAAAGACGATTGTGTTTGCCTGAAAATAAAATTTGAAGTAAACTGGCAGATTTTTCTTCTTAATTGTATGTATATCAATATATGATGAACAGCAGCATAACAGACAGTCCTTGGAGGGCAACACCAATACAGCCATTCAGCAGCAGCTAACTCTTCAGTTGCACATCTAATTCTCCCTCTCACTCCGCGCCCTCCCCCTCCCCGTTAAGATGTACAGATTTAATGGCCTTCTCTTATTTTCACTTTATATTTCTTTTGATCGTTTTCTAAGAGGAAAGAGATTCTCTCATACAATGTTTCTGGTTTTGCATCCGAACTGTATTTATACGCTCTTCTCCATCTGCAGATTCAAAAAGCACAGCGAAATGGTGAGATACCTTCATGGTATCAAGTTCTGTGATGATATGCTGACGGGGAGTAAATTTGTTCCACATTTTATCTCATCTTGTATGCGAAATCTCAGTCGGTGCAATGTGTGCATATTCAAAGTTGAAAATTACTTTTACCTTTGTGCTTTCTTCTGACCAGCATGATGCATTTCAAATTCAAACAGTGGTGCTGATTTCTGCTTGAATCGGAGCAGAAAATGGTTACCTCTTTAAGTGGAAGAAACTTTACAGTTTTGAAATAATTAAGAAATTTTAACTAAATCCATTGAAAAATAAGACCTGGCATTAGCACGGGGCCTGAAAAGTGCATGCAGGAGGAGTTTAATTGGGCATCCCTATGTTATTCTGATAGTTCAAACACCTAGGTTCAAACAGTTTTCCCAAAACCTCAGAGAGAAAAAGAGAACCTCCTTCATGCATTCTGAAGTGGTAAGATTAATTCATGTTTCATGAAAGAAGACGTGGAGATGCTTTTGCTGCAGGTTTCCTGATTGCTTTGTTCAGCCAGAGTACTCTTAAAAGAAGAAATACTTCCATAAAACTTGATCAACAGCCTAGGATATTGAAAGTAATGAGTGTGGTCAGGTGAAAAGACGTTCTGGAAAATTTGGCACTGTTAACACAGCCGTTAAGGTTTTGGCTTTGAAGCATAAACATTCATGCAACATGCAACTTAACTTCAATTTCTGTAGACTTGTAAATGAAGGAACCGAGAAACCTTTTTTAGTGCTGTTTGGTTGCTAAGTAATACAAGATGAAATAAAAGGGAGGACTTGGTGCTTTCTCTGTAAAATAGACTTTAGGACTTTTCATTTCACTTAAATAGAACTTTAGAGTAAATATCATGGGACTTCAAAGCAGCAGTTGATCAGGAATACCAAATTCATTTTTAAGTAAGTTTGTGTTTATAACTTACACTAGATAAATGTATACATGGTATTGTTAATCTGTAATAAAAGGCTCCATACCAGGGAGTTAATAAAAGAGGGGTTTTTTATATACCAGTCTGTAGATAAGTATGTCGTCTTGACTGTGAAATGAGTTCTCATTTGATGACTTGCCAGGCATACAGGAAAAGCCATTTTAATCAGTTGGAATAGAAGGAGGTTTTTTGTCAATTCTGCTTGCTTTTTGGCTCATTTATTTGATTATTATCAGTTCCCAGTGTTCCTATAAATTTTAGCTGCATAGTTTTGTTATCACTGTGTGACACCCTAATTCATCTTATTATAAAACTGTCTTTGTCATCTTTGACATTTTTCCCCAATAAAATTATTTTTCTTGAAGTGACCTCACCAGAGGAAAGTATTTGATGAAACTGCCATTCATTGTGCAAAAGCTATTCTGTGTAACCGTTTGTTTTCGTAAGCAAGCATAAGGGGAAAGGAGTCAGTACAAAGTAGGCGTGAATGTGGACATGGATGATAGTGGACTTGCATAAGCCAATCTTGCTGGCAAAGGGAATGTTAATAAAACTGTAGCCACCCAGCTGGTGTTCAGGTATTGCTAGTGCCTATTATTTGAAAACAGGCTTACCTTAGAAAAAAAGGATGAGATTCTCTTGAAATGGTTGGGGGTTTTCCAAAAGAACGCAAATAAAATTCTTTGCCTTTGGGTACTACAGGAACAAAGTTGTGTTCAGATCTTATTTCGAAGTTGTGGGTTGTTTTTTTTTTCCCCTACAACCCTGTGAGCAGGATATTGACTTTTATTTTAAAGACAGACAGTAATTTTTATTTACTAAAATAATTCCAATTTGTAATTTGATATAAACCAATGTACGTTACAGAACTTTCAACAGTGATACATGCTTCCAATACTTGCTTGCCTTTTTTTATCCTAGGCTGAATGTAATTTGCTGTATGCAAAGTACTTACTGAATTGAAGGAGGCATGTTCTGTGGACCTTTTAGAAGTACTAGAGTTTTGCTGTGGATGAAGTTTGTTCTCATTCAAACTTACAAATCTGTGTGGATACTATACTACATATTCTCTGTGTATGTGTGTATAGAGTGAGTGCGCTCAGCATTCTTGTTTTAAGCAACTGTCAGAATGATGCAATCATTTAGGAACCACACAGGCAGTTTGCTTCATGTTTCGTGCTATTCATACTCCCCTGTTTTCTTTCTTTCTTTTTCTATGTTTAAATTTTCTTTTCAATGTAGAGCTCTTTTTGATTATGACAAGACTAAAGATAGCGGCCTTCCAAGTCAAGGATTGAACTTCAAATTTGGCGATATTCTCCATGTCATTAATGCTTCTGATGATGAATGGTGGCAAGCACGGCAGGTAACTCCAGATGGAGAAAGCGATGAAATTGGAGTTATCCCAAGCAAACGCAGGTATGTCATCTTTTATTGACTTTGAGATGTCCACTATTAAATGTCTAATACGATTAATACAGATACTGCATATGCTTTGCTCTTTGTTAATTCTGTACCACATCAGCCACTTGTTTGGGTTTGGTTTTTTTTTTTTTAAAGTAGTCTGTAGTGGGTTTCTGTCTAACTCAATGAGAAGTTTGTTAAAATCCTGTTTAGCCTTGGGAGTTGTGTTCTGAAGTTAATAAAGCTGGTCCAAGTCCATTTCTCTGTTCTCCCTATAAGCAAGTTATGGGTTTAATAACATTATGCGTGAGTTTAATAACCTTAAACCAGTTATGTAAGAAAAGGTGCAAAGTGAATTTTATTTTAATCATGACACTATTGTGAATTCTTTCTACCCGAAACGTGGAAAACTGGCAGGTCTTTCTTTGGTGGACAGAGTAAACAGAGAAGAGGTCTTTGTTGGTGTGCTGGAGACCCAAATAAGCAATTAGGTGATCTGAATCTTAGTATCTGCTGATGACTCATAATTGCGGCTGTTCACTTACTATATTGTGTTTTCTGTTTGCACCCTCTGGATTTGTTGAACCTATATAATCACAAAATATTCCAATACCCTCATAGCTCATCATTTGAGAAATAATACCCTACTTTTCCAATACAATTTGCCATTATCAGGCTTCGATTTTCTGAAAGTGTCATCAGCAATACAAATCTATACTACAAAAGGTACACCTATATGCTGACGTTGTAACAAGTAATAACTTGAAGTTCTGGAATTTTGCCAATTTACTATTTTTGTATGTTTTTTTGGTAGAGTTGAGAAAAAAGAACGAGCCCGTTTAAAGACAGTGAAATTCAATTCCAAAACAAGAGGAGATAAAGGGGTGAGTTAATGAAGTGCTAATTACAACTGCCATTGTGAATGGTAACATTTTTTGGTGGTTTATGTATGCAGACTGTTTCAGATTTTAGCAAAAAGATTAAACTCTGCCAAAGAGAAATAAAATAATTCTGAGCACCAAAGCAAACTTTAATTGTCAAAACACTGCAAATCGTTTAAAGAATTAGCTCAAATGTGTTATCATTAATAATGTAATGGGAGTTGTAGCTACTAATCAAGTATTGGGTAGTGCCATTTCTAACAGCTCTGCAAGTGCTGTTCATAAAGCAGCTTGGTCCTTTAGTATGGATTGTAGTCCTGGCCTCCTTTTTTTTTAGGAAGGGCCTTACTACCAATTTTCAGAAAAAATAAAATATTCCTATCTTTAAGTTTTTCTTAATGCCTCCAGAAAACAAGGAAGTAAAGCTCAACAGGGTACCTACGATGAAATGAGATTTTATGACGTACACAGTTACACAGACAGCATAAAGTAACTTTGTTACAGTTATGGATGTAGAAGCATGCAAGGGCTTAGGCCAACCAAAACTCGAGGCTAGTGCCATTGCTCACCAGAATCAGTTTCCATCTCACAACTGTTTTTTCTCACTGCCTCCATTGGTGCAAATACTGATGTGGCTGTGCTCAAATCATATGAAGTAGCTGATGTGGGTGAAAAATAACCCAATCCAAAAGAAATCCTGGTTTTATATTTAGTCAGTCCCTTGGTCCAGTTCACTGCCCAATATGCAATCCCTGTCCCAGTACACATGATGGGAATGAGTGGTGAGAAAGCAGTATAGCTACTCAAGTAGCAATAGGAATGTTTGTAGATGAAATTATATCAATTTCATAATGTTACGGCAGTTTTGTATTATTTTAAGTGTGCAACTTTTTAAAATGTTTTGGTCATTTTGAAATTTGGGAAGCAATTTCACAACCTTACAATTTCTACCGATAGTATATAACTGTAATTTCAAGACTTAGGTATATGCATTTTATTCTGAAGAGCCTTATGAAGTAATAAAACATTGTCATTTTTAAAAATCTGAAACATGCTTTATGCTCCTGAGGAAGCTATTTCTTAAATAGTGTTTAGTTTTTAATAGCACTAATGCTTAACATTAGTCAGTCATTATTGTAAATATCAACGGTTCCTTTTAGTAATTTATTTCAGTTAGTGTCTCCATAATTTCAAAAATCACATATATAAAATATTGAAGCTTCAATACTTTATCCTGATAGTGAAGGACTTTATACTTTAAAGACTGTCAAATCCATATGTACATCCATCTGCTACATGGCAAAGGTTTCAGATTAGTTTATTGATGAAGAATATATAATGGTTTTTTCTATAAGTATTTGTTTAAAAGGAAATTAATATCTCTAGTTATTTTCTGATGAACAATTACAGTACTGCCTTGAAGATTCACTGGGTTATTTGCAGGTGTTTTTTTTCTGTTTTGGTGCACTCATATTTTGGTTTTGGAATAAAATGTTATCAAACGATGTGGTGATTTTTAACCTGATCATTTTTATAATTTGAGTTCACTCTTCAGAAGTCACATAAAGAAAATGGCTTAAATACTTCATATTATTTTAATTACATTAAGTAATTTTTCAAATGTTACCATGTTCTTTGAAAGATAGTTGCATGGTTTTGTAGTTTTGTCTACCAATAAACTGCAAACAGTTAACTTAATTAACGATGTATTTGAAGTAGCATTTTGACAATAGCAGACTTGGTGCACAGTGACTGTACTAGCACAGCACCAAAGATACGCATGGAAAACAGAGTGGAAAAGCAACTACGCTTGCCATTGATATAGAACTGCAGTTCTCTTTCTTTAGTAACATTTCATTTTGCAAACACGCTTACACTGTTCACAATCTTTTGCTTCAGCTGTAAATGTTTTAACATTATAGTTTCTCCTAAAGTGTGCTTCCTGTGTTTGTCATGATGATATTTTTCCCCACTAAGTTGTCTGCATCGTACATGTCCTCATGGACTGTGTGCCCTCCTGTGTCTGTGTATGATAATACTCCGTGGTCAGGATGAAATACCAACTTTGTACAATTCTTCAAAATTTCTCCATTAAAGCCTTAAAGAATATCTCTAGTGATGGCAAACATTGAATTCATGTTCCTTTCATTTTAAGGAAAGCTAAAAAATCTGGAGCAGAAATGGTTAAATTTTTTTTCTTGTTTGTTCCTTTCATATACACATTTATCTCACTTTCTGTGCTGCTTCTGTTTTAATATATTCTTGCTTATGATGCCTGTTTATGATTTGCAGTGAGCTTATGAGAAATTTAATACAATTACTATGCATTTTCAACTAATAAGCAATTCTCTCAAGCTTTTTATAATCATGGTATCTTTTAAAAATAATCTTTTGGCTAATCTTTTATGCAAAATCAGTATAATATTACTTTTATTTTCTCTATTTTTGGCAGTGGAACTGACTCTGACCATTATACATGCAGTATATAAAATTTAATATTTGTTCAGTAAGATGTACTGTACATAAAGTTAAAATAATTATTGTTATGAAATAGTTTCAAAACTAAAATGAAGAACCCAACTATGTTTTATGAAGCACAGTAAATCAGCCACTCCTTTTATTTTAACTATACAAATTGCCCTCTCACTACCTCAGTTAAACTGCAACATTTTAGCTTTGTTATATTCATTTCCCCTATTCTTTTGCCCAAACTGAGAGACTTGTTCGAATGGAGCAATTATATAGGTGTAAGACTTACACTTTTTAAACTTCGTTATAGTATTTTTCAGTATACTGAGCAGAGATCTCTTCTGGGCATATTTCCTTGTTGCCCTTGTTCTGTAGATTACATTAACCTTTCTGATTATGAGAAATCAATTGCAGTGACTTGTTGACTTCAGATAAAGAAGGTCAGGAGGACCATAACCTAAAACCTTGCCCATGATTTGCGTGTGGTTCCTGCAAGCATGTGATTGGCTCAAAATTAGTTCTTTTGTCCATATGTCAGTTGATAGCTTACCAGTTCTTACAGTGGAATGACAGTTTTAGTCAAACATAGATGCCAGCCAATTAAAGGTTTTATGGATTTCCTACTTAACACAGTATTGCTATTTCCAGAGCTCAATGTCACTGATTGGTGACAGACCCATGGTACCATGTGCCTCTGACACCTGGTAATTTAAAGTAAATGAGTTTTTTTTAAACAATGGTAATGAAAACATCAGCGGATGTTTCAGTATCTGTTATTGCCAAGCAAGTCTGTATTAAAACAGATGGCCAGAGGGACTGTTAACACTGTAGCAGGATGCGGCTTTTGTGCTACGCTGTGGGCATTCTCTTTAGAAGGGCAAGTGGAAGTTTTGCAATGGTACCAAAGAAGGTGGCCCACTGCTTGAAAAAACTTTGTCTTGTTTGACCACTGGTTGTTACTATATTTCATTCCATACTTCATGCTGGTAGAAAAGACTGTGTCTTTTTGCAACTGTATTGCGTATAATAGAGGAAGATGAGGTTACACTGGCTGAAGACAGACAGACAATTACTTGAAAGTTAACATGCTCCAGATTATAGAAATAGCTGTTAATAGTCTTTAATGTATGTATTGAATTTTTTTTTTAAAGTAAAAATAGCTTTAAAAAAAATTGTTCTGTGGAAGTTTTATTACTTCCTGCTGCACATGGGCTCTGCTTGGCTTAGAAATAAACAGTTCCCCTGCAGCATAGGGTCTCAAAACCAAGTTGGGCATTTTCTTGCTTTTGCCATCCTTCCCATCATAGAGTTTCTGCAAACAAAGTGACAAAACCATGACAAATTTCATGTCTTGGCAAAACTGGTCAGATGGTTCACTTATGTCTAAAGATGAAAAGAAATTTCAGGTGGCTTCAACTTAGCTCTATTAATTCTAGTTCTGGGCGTAATTGCAATCAAAATGTTACTGATTTATTTATATGTTGAGTTTCTTCATTGACTTAGAACAGTAAATTAAAGGCTCTGTAGTCACATAATGTCTTCAGCAGAAGACATGGCAAATATTACTAAATTCTGTGTTAACTATACCTGTAAACATATCTGTATATGAATGAAAATGCATTGATGCTCTCCATCACTTAGACAAGGAGCACAATAATTGTCTATATTCAAATGGGTGGATACGTATATGTCAATATAGGTAACTCTAGAAATTCTGGTAGCAACTGAGATGCAGAAATTCTTCAGCAACACGAGCAGTTAATGTCAAAAGTTGCTGAACATGATCCTTGGACATATGGGGGTTTTCACCTGGTAATTTTCTATAAATGCACCCTTGAAAAAATAATTGGCACAATATCAAATGAAATAAGTTTGTATCTTTTGAAAGTTAATCTTGATATTGGGATGCAGACTTACGTAAAGCAAAGTAGTTTCTTTCAGTGAACTTGCAATGAATTGCGATTGTGAAAGACTGAAACAAGGTTTGGTTTTTTTTTAATTGTTTGGATATTTTAGCTAGACACATTTCTTTTTTTCCTTTTGTCCTATTTCACTGTTAACTTAGTTTTATTGTAAGAGCATTTGGTACAATGCCAGCTTTTAACTTCCATTTTTCTTTACTGTATGATATGTTATTTAGTAGTCATCACCACAAAGTATTTACAGTTTTCCCTTTGCAAATGGGTGACACTGGAAAATACTTCTGGTGTGCTGTTATGATGTCAGCTGTTTGCAAAAGCATGTGTAAAGCCTTAGCATTTTTTTTGTTTAAATACTGTAACCCCTATATTAGATAATATCAGTTATTTGATTGACTTTGAGTTCATTATGGTTTGGCATCTTGTAACAGCCAAGTTTTTCACATCTTTTTACACTCTCAGCAAGCCTAAATTTGTGAAATGCAGGTCAGGCCATATAGAATCATTTAGATTGGAAAAGATCATCGAGTCCAAGCAGCCTGCCAGTTCTCTCAATAGTAAGCATGTGAAATACAGAGGGTGTGAGCAAAGCCATGATCCCAATTTCTATTTTTAATGAGCTGAGAAGATAGTGTTAAACTGAAATATGCACTGCATAACGTGGTTATAGGAGTCAGCTTCCACAAAGCTGCTGGTCTGGGCCTTTTGTTCACACAGACATTAGACATCCTTTGTTTTGCCCCTCCTTCTCTTCTTCAGCAGTCATTCAATGACAAGCGTAAAAAGAACCTCTTTTCCCGAAAATTTCCCTTCTACAAGAACAAGGACCAGAGTGAGCAGGAAACCAGTGATATTGACCGTAAGTATGTGGCATTCGATGGAGAGCGAAGCACACGTAGAAGGGCCTGCTAGATTGCAGTAGGGTGTTACCATGGAGACAGTTTCATGAGCTGCAACAGGCTAACGAGCTTGAGGTGCCAATGACAAACCAATCTACAAAATCAATAAAACCGTTTGTTTGCTGTTAGAGTAAAATTTAACCCAAGAGTATCCCAGCTGCGAATAAACTGGGTAATACTGTTGAGTAACAAGGTGTACAACAGCCTTCCAGCACTGTCAGTGGTGGTTCCTCATTTCTAACTTGGAGGAGAGGGCACAGGAGCAAAGCAAATGTAACAGAGCTTACCAGCTTCTCGAATCAGTCCCTTTAGACTGGTTTCTTCAAAGTCAGTCATTCTAATTCGGTTTTCCTAATGAAGAGAGGTCACTTTGATTTTCATTGTTGTTGCCAGCACTAAAAAAAAAAGTGTCTTCTCAAAAAGCAGTTGCACAAGTTTGCTAATTCAGACCAGGTCTGCTACAAACTGCGTTCTCTACCATTTGCACCACTGATTACACTTCATGTGCCAATCCGGTCAAATCCTATAGACTTATGTTCCCCTGTGATGTTCTGGGAACTGTCTCCTGTCGTAGCGCCAATTTTATATATTACTGACAATTATTTTCTTTGTGATTGTCTTTTTATTGCTTGCCCTCTGGGGACTACTCTGCAGGAGGTCCCTGACGACATGGGATCAAAAGGCCTGAGTAAGTGATCAAAATACTCCCAAGTTATTTTAACCTCCATCTGAAAAATTACTACTCTTTTTTTATTTTAACAGATATTTTTGAGACTGGTGCTCTGCTGGCATAAGGAGGTTGACTCTCAAAGTGTTTCATGAGCTTTTTCTAGTTTGTAATGAATGTTCTGGGGGTTTTTGCTTTCAGGAACGTGTTACTTGAAGTTCATGTGATTATCACTTTAGGTTTTTGTTGTTGTTGTTCGGAAGCTTACCGGCGCTTACTTGTTTGTCCTTAATAGTACTGTGTTTTTAAATTTGGTGGTTATTTTTTTTATGTCAAGTTTATCTTGTCTTTGTGGTTTTATTTATTTAAAAATAACCTCTGGCTTTTTACAGTAATAGTACAACCATTGCTGTAATACTTGTAACTAGTTATGGTTTTCAATCCTCTCTCTAGGTGACTGACATTTACAGCTACTTAAAACAAACAAAAAACTTTGCTTAACAAATGCCATGAGAGTTTTTCTGTCTGACTTATTTGAACTCTTACGATGCTTTTAGACCAGGTAGAGGGGTAGCTAATAGAGGAGACACATAAGCATTTGTTGTATTTCTTGCAGAAATATTGACTACTTGAATACACTAAGATTCAAAAGTTGCTGAGTACTCGTAGCAGATCTGTTTGTGTATGTAGACACCACCACTGTACTAAAATGACAAATAAAGTCAAGACCTTGCTTTCATCACAGATATTAAACACATAGATTATTAGGCATTTATGGAATAGCAAAATTAGTCACTAAAGATATGTGACTGAAGGTCATCAAAAATAGCATTTCTTCCTGGGGCATAACTGTTATGCCCAGTGTTCCTGAAATTACATGTAAGAAGCAGTGTACTTTTATACTTGTCCTCAATCATGAAATAAAAATTCTAGTAGCTAAAACATTAGTTTTCCATTTCTGAAATGGCTACTTTCAAGGAAGTTCTTGGTCTAGAGCAAAGACCTTAGCGACCTTTATGGTCTTATGGTTTAGAGCAGAAGATCATAAGCAGCCTTTATGGCCTTATGATCATACCTAGTTTAAACTATGTAATGTGGTCCAGGAACATCACTAGGTGATTCTGTTACAAAACAAAATGGCTTCTAGCCTGTTTTTGAGCACAGTTAGACTTTTCGAAACTGCCTTACCACGCTTAATGTGAGCTGTGTTACTTGGCTCTGCAAGACTGCTGTTCTTGGTGGTGTTCAACTGTGCCCGTTATCAGACTATCACAACACTTGTTTCCCTTTCATGTTCTACTATGAGGCTTTTAAACATCGCTATTTGCCTCTTCCATGCCAATGTGGACATTCTTTTTCCATGACAAGAAAACAAAATGGAGGTGCATCCAAATTACTGGTACTTGCAAACATTAGGAAGTATTTGTCTGTCTGTCCTGCACAGAAATGAAATGAGGGAGTTTAGTCTAGCTAGAGATTCATGGTTGAAAGATACTAGTTCACTTTATCAAAAAAAAAATTAAAAGGTTAATTAGTTTACATATGATAATTAACTTTTAAAATTTTTATTAATCACTAGAAGCATACTTTATAACTGTATTCTTACCTCTAGAGTCCTCTTGCTTTCTTCGCTTCAATCTTGTAGGGGAGGAACCACACTGAATTCAATGTAATAGAAAGGTTCCTCATGACAACAATATATATTATTGTATGCACATAGTTAGGTACATAATTTCAAATTACTTGTATTTAATTTGTGTAGCTCAAACACAAGCTTCTTTGTGCAGCCTTAACCTGTGAATGTTAGTGTATAGACACATTCATTGGGTGGCATGAAAATTGATTCTTTAAAATTAAGTTCACCAATATCAAAGTTCATATTTGTTCACCAGATCTGTGGAATTTTCAGGTAACAGAATAGTTTGATACCCGAATTTCTTCAATTGCATTATTTTTTATCATAAATATATTTAACACATAGCTTGAAAAAGTAAATATAAACACCTTGTAGCTACTGAAGTATTTCGATGACTATGCAAAAGGCATGAAATTAATGTAGACAGTCCAGAATAAAAGTCACGAGCTTTTTGAAAACTAAAGCATTACTGGAGGGAAGAAAAGAAATTTAAAAAAAAAAAAAAACAAAACACCTTAATTCTGCGTTGCACTTCAAGTAAACTATTTAATATCCATAGGAGAGTGTCTAGTATTGAGTGCGCTACGCTATTTCCTGCAGTATAGTCCAGTACTTCTGCTACAAGACTCTTAACATAATCAATAAATTGTCTGCATAAAAGTTGAAATGCATAATCCCATAGTTTTCACACAACAAAATTAATCTTGACGTGAAAACCTAAAAATTGCAGGGTTATGAGTGAACTATGAATTAGTGTACTTTTTGTAATCTGATGTGCTATTTAATGTTTTTCTTTTTATTAACATCAATTCCTTTCGTATGAAATTAAGCTTGATCCTGAGAGCTATGAGAAGTACCTTAAAACTTTTATATGCAGTATGTATTGATTTCAGCGTTTTGATATCAGTATTGTCTTTCATCTGGATTATTTTGCGTCAATTTGCTTTCTTTTGGACTCATGCCATTAGTGTATGTTCCTTATTTTTTTTCCCATTGTGTTGCAATTTCAGAGCATGTAACCTCTAATGCCAGCGATAGTGAAAGTAGTTACCGTAAGTGTTTTTAAGTTCTTTGTTTATTTAGAACCTTTGTTTAGTAGCACCTTCTTTTGGTTTTGTTTGTCTGTCTTTTCTGGGTATTTACATGTTAAATAGAACTTCCCAGTCACCTTCGGGTGAAATCCATAGTCAGGTGTTTGGTGAGTACTGCAAATTGTGCTGTGTCTTTGTTTTTAAAAAAACTGACTGGAGAGAGTCATTGCAAACTTCCTTTATGGATATTTTTATTGTGGTCTATGATTTTCTTCGTTCAGCTTAATTTGAATCTGTTCCTATTTTTTTTAAATTTTGCGAGTGAACTGGACCAATTAAAACCTAAATGTAAATTTAATGCTGACAAATATAATTACATGTAGTTGAGCTTAATACTGGAAGCATAACTAAACTGTGTAATCTGTTAAATAGTTTAATAACTGTCTACAGTATTTCACAACCGATACTCAGATTTAACATGTATACGCTTCTACTGAAAGTAAAGATAAACAAACATGTATTTACCCTTGCTTTCAGCTTTCATTTCTCTATTTTGTCAAGTGTGGGTGCTTAGTATGAATTGTCTTCAAAGCATATGACACACATGCAGTGCTGGAGTCAGTATGATAGATTAGCATGCTAGTCACGCATGCACGTTCTCTCTCTCTGAAGATACGGTGTCTTTTAAATACTAGACTGAGTTAGCTTTTTTACTAGCCCAAGCTACAGTACTATTTACTATTACCCAAGCTACAGCAGTACTACATGCTCACAGCGGGCAATATGCTGCATGATACTGCTCTACAGTGCTTTAAAAATGTCTTAAATGAGAGCCAGAACATCAATCCCACTAGTCATTTCCAGCGAACAGCTCCTCAGTAAGGTGTGTGGTCCAGACCTAGAACTCAGCAGTGTGGGAAGATGGAAAAGTTGAGGATTTGAAGAAGAGTATGAAAAGAAGGAACAGTAAAAGTCACGCAGGGTGACAGTGAGGAGTGGCTCACTGATCAGCTGCTGCCTGCCTGCTGACTGTATAATGGGCATTTCAGAAACAGAAACAATTTCTGTTAGGGTAATAAGGAAGGTGGTTCATTAACAGATAATCTTTGTTTGGAAGCTGTAGGTCTTCTCAGAGGTGATGATGCACATTTTTTCTTTCAGATGATTACACTCAGGGAGAGAATTTACATATGTATATAAAATTCTAACAGTGCTGTAGACTGTAATTGAAAGGAAACCAGTTGGGGGAGGCATTCATGACCCCTGAGAATAACACAAAATGGAACGTGTATGGAAGTTGCCTTCGACAAACTTAGAAATTTTAACCATTTTTAATGACATGCCATTAAAACTATCTAACCATGACTGTTTCTTCATAAATTTGCTGCTTTCCTCCCTCCCTGCCCCCCCAAGTTTTTCTCAGAGCTTGCTTTATTTATGTTTAAAGCTCATTACTGGTACTGCTAGTTAGTTTTTTACTCCATTGTTACTTGAGAAACCCTGATTTTGTTATGAATGTTATGGATTTGCTTATCTGAATGTGTCACTCCAAGCACTTTTTATTAAAATTATTTTTTAAATTTCTTCTTACTGCTGTCTAATATGAAAGTTATCTTGATTACAGATGAGTACGGTTGCTCAAAAGGTTCATTCTATTAATATTAACTTTTCCAAAGTATTGAAAAGCAGTGACAATATATACTTTTTGCCCTCAATCAGGGGATGCTTTTTACTTACTTCAGTAGTTTCCTTAACTAATTTTTGACCTTATAGCAATGTGGCTTCTCCAAAGAAGTATCTAATTATATGTGAGCTGGTTCTTTTGTAGATGAGTTGATGGTTGGTGATTCCCTATTCTTCTCCCTAGCCTAAAAGGGGTTCTGAAAGTATATACTGTCCTTCTAAATTCCATTTGCATGAGTAACTTTTTGATATATTAAAATATACAGGTTGCATGTTTTCGTGTCTGTCTTAAGGTATTCCTCACTTGCAATAACTTACAAAATTAAAGTGTTCATTCATGTATTGCTGTAGTACAGTTTGAATGCAAATTTACTGCAAATAATAGAAATATTTCTCTTAATGAAATTGTACATTTTAGATTTAAAAGATCAATGGTATTAGCTATGAAATAAAGATTATATATAGAAGCAATATATGAATTTACAAATCTTTCATCTGCCATCTGTATCTGTGCAACTGTGGTACAGCATTGGTATGTTCCTTTGCCTGTTACAAGTATGGCTTATGAACTGCAAAGACTGTTCCAAAATTACACAAGTGAGTTATTGAAGGACTGTATTTTATTCAGAGTTTACAAAAATGCCATATAATTTGAGCTTACATCTTCAGAATTATAAATTTTCTGCTGTCATGGAGTTAATTTTTAGTAATTTCGTTGCAAGAAATCTTACTCAGATATATCTTGTTAGGCTAGAAATAATCTTTTAGAGAGATGGCAACTGAGGTATATTTCAGATGCTTCACTAACATTTAAAAAGCCTGCAGCTGTCAAAGGTCAAAATTCAGTTATTTTGGTTTCATTCACTGCTGATGTGCTTTCTGGAGCTGAGAATAATACTAAGCATTCTTTGTTTTCAACTTCATCTTTAAAAATTCATTAATAAAAGAATAATTACTTAGTGTTTTTTTTTTGTAGAATTAGAGTGGTGGAAGATGTTTATATAAATGCCACTTCATGATAAAGTTAATGGAAGATATGTCTGCTTTGACATACATGGTTGTTAGCCCTGTATAAATATAGAAAAATATTATTGTAAATGCTGGCCTCAGTGTGGAGAATATTCATGATGCAGGTGTCATTGCCTCTAGCAGTGAATGATAGCATGCATGCATTTCAGGGAAACACGTATAAGAGCATTTCAGTAATGCTTTAAAATTCTTTTGTGCTTGATGTCAGTCTGACATGCTAACGTAAACCAGGAAATTATTTATACTGTATGTGTCTTACGCTTTAAAATTTTGTGTTTGGCTTATCTTTGTGATTTTTATAATTCATCGCTCTTGGAAAAATGTCCTTCATCAGAATCGTTGTAATGCATATTACTGAGGAATGTCTGTATCATTATAGTTCATTGAATAACTCGATTTAAATGTGTTGGTTTAGGAAAAAGATACATATACGTGTCTTTGCATTTAAATTTTAGGTGGCCAAGAGGAATACGTCCTGTCATATGAACCAGTCAATCAACAAGAAGGTCTGTAGATCTCACTCAGTATAAAATAAATATCTGAATTATCAGAAGCTTCATGTGCCCTTATATACTGAGCACCATGATAAATTTCTTCCCTGTTTTGAATTTGTTACTATTATTCAAATGAATAAAGCAGAAAGGCATAAATTATTAAACACAATTGCTAAATTATTTAGTGCAAAATCCAAAAGTGTGCTACTTAAAATAACTTATGTGTGGTTTACATTGCATAAGGAAAACATGGTATGTCCAACAGTTCCGTCAATGCCAACCTCAGAAATTATAGTTTCCTTCTCTTTCATTTTGCTTTAGTATTCTCACTGTTGCAAAGAGTGTGTCAATAGATCATTTGTCTGTTTTAGTAAGCTTTAATTGAAATGTCTCCAAATCGTGTCAGTCTCCCATTTCTGTGTGGGCTTCTTACATGGCTAATTTGATTAGCAATTCCCAAGTACTTTTTTTTTTTTTTTTTCCAGAAAAATATTTTTGAATGAGATGGAAATTGATAGGAGAAAATATTTTCTCACAGTTGCGTTTAAAATAAAAGGCTTTTCACTGATTCACAACAGGATGCTATCGTGTCCTTTTCATCTTGGTCCTGATCTTGCTTCACTGTGTGTAATAGATACAGAACTTTTAGCGTTCCCATTCACCATCACAGGTGCTAACGGTTGATTTACATTATCTGATACATAGCTCATATATTTGTAAATTAATCTGTAAACAGAATGTCTTTTGGGAATACTTGGTGTCTGTTACCAATCAAATAAGGTGGCAGTAGAAGTAAATATATATCATGCATTTACATGAAGTTTGAGCGTCAAGATTTTATTTCTGGTTTCATGCAGTGAGTGGCACAGCCCAGTAGCTTTTAATACCATTGTGGAACACGCATGCCGGTGTAAACTCCACTTTGACTAGTTAATCATGGCATATGGGCTCCATTTCATTAGTAAAAATAGTTACATAAGATGTAACACAAATGACATTATTTATATCATAAATTTGTAATTTTGGTAGGCTCCAGATAAAATCCTGGATGAGAAATGCATGAGTTAGACCGTGCTAGAGATGGGGAAAGGGCAGGTCCTCTTCGCTGTGCTAAATAAGCAATGGTTAGGCTAGGGAACTGGAGGTTTGTTACCCTCGAATGAGCAGCTGCTGGGTCTGTGTAGGTACGCATACAAGGTCTCACAAAATGAGAAATATCTTTTTAGCTGGTATTAGCTTCCCACGTTCTGATAGTTTAATGGTTTAGTGAGAACAGTAGTAATATCAAGTGAGTTAATATCAAGATTGAAGAGAAAAGATGTGAATGAGTCTTCGTACAAGCCGACGATTTAGTAACTATCACTTTGTAAGACTAAAGATTTGAGAGAGCCAAGTGCTCTGGCATTTAAATAAATTACTGTATTCCCCTTTGTGAGTCTAACCTAGTGTATGGGGAAGGCCATAAAAGAACCAGCACCTCGTTCTTTTGCTTAGGGGCAGTAATACATTCACAGAATCACACGGAATCACAGAATGTTAGGGGCTGGAAGGGACCTCGAAAGATCATTGAGTCCACCCCCCCGCCAGAGCAGGACCACCTAGAGCAAATCACACAGGAACGTGTCCAGGCGGGTTTTGAATGTCCCCAGAGGAGGAGACTCCACCACCCCTCTGGGCAGCCTGTTCCAGTGCTCTGACACCCTCACAGTGAAAAAGTTTTTCCTTATGTTAATGTGGAACCTCCTGTGCTCCAGCTTGCGCCCTTTGCCCCTTGTCCTGTCATTGGCTATCACCGAGAAGAGCCCGGCTCCATCCTCCTGACACTTGCCCATCACGTATTTATAAACATTTCACAGTATTTTTTTTTTTTTAAGAAGCCCAGAGGAATAAGGAACTGTAATGACCAAAATTAATTTAAAGGTGCTTGGACTTGAGGCACAGGTGGTCCACCCTTAGCCTTTTAGCAAAGGTGTTTGTTATTAAATTAATATGTTGACTGTTACTGGATCCAAGATGTTACTTTTATGAATATATTAATATCTGGGAAAGGAAGTAGTACTGAGAGTCATATTAAAATATATCTTGCAGGTCAGACTTTACTTATTTTGCACTTATTTGTGCAGTAAAGACATACTGAACCTAAAACTAAAATTTATACAGCTGAAATTATATGCTAATGCCCAGATACTTGGGCATTATTGTCTCCATGGTTCTTGCAGAATAATCAGATATTTTCTGCTTAAGCTTAATTGCCAACTAACTTTATAAAAAATTAAGCTCCTTTTAAAAGATGCTACGCTTCATCTTTGAAGGGTGTTAGTAGTTACGGAAACTATATATAGTTGAGTCTTTTCATACATGAGTATTTAATTGTGGTCTTAGAGGAAAAGAAGAAACTTCTTCCAACGCAACTAAAATTTCATGGGCTCTGCTACTGCTTAGTAAGCAGGTACCTACTGCTTAGGTACCTCATTGAAGTTAAAAGAATTTCAAACTTCCCCCTTTTGTTTTTTTCATTAGAGCGAAGAATCTTCCTTTGTGAAAAGATTCTTTTGTTTTTTGTTTTTTTTTTTTGTTCCAAAGACTTCATAATTTAAGACTCATCTTCAGTCACATAGGGTAATGATTTGAGAGTGAAGAACTAACATCTTACTGTGACTATGGTATTAATTGATTTACGTTGTTCAGTGTGTTTTTCTTCTCTTTAGGGGTACATATTCTTTTAGCTATTAAAATCATTACCATGTGATGAAGTTTATTTTGCTGAACTGTAAAAGTTAGCAGTCATACTGAAATTTAACTGATGTTATTCCTTTACGTTTCATAGTCAGTTACACTCGACCTGTGATTGTTTTGGGACCCATGAAAGACAGAATAAATGATGATCTGATCTCAGAATTTCCAGACAAATTTGGCTCATGTGTTCCACGTAAGTCTCAGCAAATACTGAAGCAATTCTAAATGAGTTTTTTTTGTTAATTTTCTTAATAGGCACCCTCTGTATGTTGAGTTAAAAAGAAGTTAATATATTTTCTAAACTTTATAGACCTATCTTAATTGTCAGTCATCTCTTTGCTTGTGAAATTTTTGTGGTATAAATGGGAGACTATTTTTGGATATTGTAGGGGAAAAAAGTCATTGTGTTTTGTTTTGCTTTAAAAATTACTGGTTTATATTTAAAGATACTACTAGACCAAAACGAGATTATGAGGTGGATGGACGTGATTACCATTTTGTCACTTCCCGAGAGCAAATGGAGAAGGATATTCAGGATCACAAATTCATTGAAGCTGGCCAGTACAATAATCATCTTTATGGAACAAGTGTCCAATCAGTGCGAGAAGTAGCAGAAAAGGTAAATCAGTGCCAGTTACTTTCATTTACTGAGGTCATGCTCTGACTGTGTTGATGGGGAAAAGAGAAGAATGGGACAAAGCCATTAGGAGCCCACCGATTTCAAAAGGAATTTGTACAAAACTAGAAACAAAGCGCATTGTCACAAATGCATTTAGGGAGATAATGACGCTTTGGAATAATGAAAGCATCGTGATTAAATTATGGGAAAAGAGCAACCTTAGTTTGTATCCTCTTATAAAAAGAGAATAGAGAAGAAATAATTGGAATTCCAGGCTGATTGGCCTAGCTCACATACAGAGATCATTAACTTATTAAGAATAGTGGTGGTGGAGTCAATTAATATGATGATTCATTTGATACACACCTGTGCAGAGGAAAACTTGTAAAAATGTTATTCTTTGTGTCCTTTATGGATTTAGCTGACAAAGGGAAAAGAGTAAATGGAATAAACTCAATCTTAAAAAGAATTTTTACATAACTACCACTACATTTTGAAGACTGACCTTGCTGGGTTTATCCTGAACAGTTTTTAGTTAACTATTTCTTGCAAAATCTAAATATTTCAAAATTCAAACTGAAGTTTACTCGAGCTATCTGAAAAAGAGTGGGAAGAAGGAAGCATATTTCTTAGAGTAAAATGCTTCTTTTAAAGAAATTTTTTTTGTGAAAATTTTTTGCAAATGTTCCATGTTAGGTTGATGAATGTTGTTCTACTGCTTACAAACTTGGTGCATTTACAGTAGGCAATGTTATCTGGTCTGCATGAGAGAAGAAACAGCTGTTTTCTAGGTGGGAACTCACAAGTGTGAGCACTTTCAGTCTGGAGATGCAGAGGGTAAGTGTGGTTAACCCACGTGACACAGGAGTGTAGTTAGTTCTCTGGAAAACAGTGTAGACCATTCTGGCCAAATGGCTGAGTGTTGTTATTTCTGGCAATTTAATTTACTTGAATCAGAAACAGGCTGAACATAGTGAGATTCTGTGGTTCATGTGATGAAGTTTTCCTCTGCTGTCCTTTTCGCCCTATGGAATAGAACCTGGGCCTGTGGTATATAGTGAGAAAAGTAAAGAAACTAAAATCAGTTACAAAATTGTTCAAGTAAATGAACAGTACTTTGTATGGGAAGCTGAAGCTGTGAAACTATCCTATGTGGTTAAATGATGAAGCTGTTTATTGAACAGCTTAAACATTACAAACCTGTCGGCAGGTGCTTCACCTGGTAGCACAGATACAATCCTTCAGATCCATCCTAGACCTGAAATGGACTGTGTTCTTTTGTCCATCTAGTGAGATTAGTAAGGTACAAAGCAGTTGTGAATCTTTTATAAACTGACATGAAGGACAAAGTACTACCAGGTGTCTCCTTGCTATTAAGTCTCTTGCACAGGCACCGTGGGACTTTGAGTAGATGCGGCAATTTCTCAGTTCCAACTAACATTATTTTTCTGGGATACAATGGCCTCTCCTTCAGAACTTGATGTCAAAATCATGACAGGGCTGCAACCTAGTTGATCTGGGCTACTCCCTCCTTGTATTCCTCTCGGTCTCGCTTGAGATGAGTCTCTTTGCTGGTCTTATTACTGGGATTTCCAAGATGCTTTCCAATGTTTTCTGTGACAAATTTAGGAGAAGACATAACAGAAGTGACTGCTACTACCCCAAAAGTACCAGAAATAGTATTCTTGCAATAGGTTTACATTGTGTTCATTTGCCCATGATTCCAGCTGGTCCCTATCTCTCTCATTTCCTTACCTATAATGGCTACAGCTAAAGATGCTTTTTGATGTCATTGTTTGGTTATTGTGAAAGGCACCGAGTGCTGTTTCTCAATCAGATGCAGTGCAAGTAAGGGACTGAAAAATATGTAAAATATTGTTTAAATGCATTGTGCAAAGAGCAAAATAGCCTCCCTGGATGAAAACATGATAATTGTATCATGAAGTATTTGTGTTTCCTTTCTTTGTCTTCCACATCCTCGCTTGGATGGAATTTTCGGGTTCTTTTTTCTTTGGAATTGCTAGCAGCTTGCATATCCGTGTGTCTAAGGCTGCTCTTAATGCATGTTCATTATCAGTTTGGAATAAACTGTCACAGTTATATTCCATAAGGTCCAGCACAGCTACTGTGCTGGCAATCTAGTCCTCGACGCTTTGCCCAAAATCCTTTGGCACCTGGCATAAGTTGTTGGGCCAAACACAGCAAATACAAGTGTCTTATCCCAAAAAGGGAAATGGACCAGGTAATGTCCTTAATTCTCAATTCCCAGAGTGTGTGCCACATTTAAAGAGAAACCATTTGAAAGATGTGGATAGGTCAGCACATGTCATAAAATACTCTGTTAGAACATACAAACACCTCTTTTAAGTGATACCAGTCAGCATCCAGATCCATGGACTGCATCTGGGAAACAGCTATCATCAGTTGAAAGTAAGCAGATATGCATTGTTCATATGGAAAGAACACTTCTGTTGTCCTTACACATTCCCAAAATAAATTCCTGTGGGTTTGTTGTGCAAGAGATGAAATGTAAATGATCCCAGTGATCTGTTCTGCCAGGAAGCAGAAGCATGTCAGTCATTTCAGACTGCAGTCACTTCCTTGCTTTTCAACATTCCCTCCAGGAATGATCTCCCAGGAGTTCAGGAAGTGTGTTGTCTGATATGAGTAAATATGAGTATGCCTTGTGGGTTTGTACCCTGACTCACAGAATTCTGCCATTCATATTGGTCTCCTGCTAAAGAAAACGCTTTTCTTTTTTTGGTCACCTGACAGTGGTTTTCTGTTCCTCTCCCGCCATCCCTTTTTAAAATGGTGGTAATGCCAAATTACTCCTATGCTACTTGGAAAGTAAAGAAATAAAAATATGTGAGTTGAAATGAGCATATCGGAGATGAGAGGATCTGAGGAACAGGAGGAGCCTTTGAGATGAGATATTGCAAAGAGCTGGAAAATTGCTTATAATGGGAGAGTAGAGGTGGGGAGAAAAGCAGCCCTACAACATTGTCTTCCAGCTGCCCAAAGAACGCTTAAGTTATATTTGTTTTTCTCTGAAAAAATAATAAGCCCAAATAAATTGCATTCACCGTCTCAAACTTTGTATTCTACTGCGTGGTATCTGGAGGAGAATGCTTGTATTCAGTTCCATCTAACAATTCTGATGGTAGCATATTTCCATGCCATCAGGGGTGGGTACTCCCTCAGGTATGTGAGTTAAGTCATCTGGCTTCTCTCTGAACTGCATCTGTGAGATGGCCACCTTCCTAAAGGATCCTCAAATTATGTTAAAAAAAAAAAAAAAAAATTCATTTGGGCGGTGTGGCTGAAGTACGGCTGTTCCACTGGATGATTCTGCATTGTTGATTGGGCTGCAGCCTCTGGTGGAGAAAGGAAGGAAGAAAGGTCAGGAACATCTCAAATGATGTATGATCCCAACAGAGGAGCACTGTGGGACCTTGTGCCAAAGTGGTGAAATCATATATCATTGATGCAAATGCTCTAATTTTGTTGGCTTCAGTGGAGACGTGTTTTGTCTTCTAAATTATTACGCTATGCATACCTGTGACTTAAACTTTTCTTAGTGTCGTTTTCCCTTCTCTTTCACTTTTTAGGGTAAACATTGCATTCTTGATGTATCTGGTAATGCGATCAAAAGGTTGCAGATTGCCCAGCTGTACCCAATCTCCATTTTCATTAAACCCAAAACAGTGGAAAATATCATGTGAGTAAAAGTAAAGTACCTCAGGCTACGTTGTTTGAGACTGTCATTGTATTTGTAAAGCCAGCTGCAAGTTATGTGAAAACGTAATATTTGCATTTTAAACAATATTTAATTTCCTGAGTTTAATTTCTAGGGACTTATAGATGGGGTATCTAATCCAAATTAAAGTTCTTGAAATGTCATGCTGAATTCCATGCAACGTAGTGTCAGAACATGTCGTTCCCACTACAGTCTTTGCTTAGGTGTGTCATTTAGGAGACTGCCTCTTATTAGGGTTAATACTCAGACAACAGTCTAAAATCTTATTTCAAAAGACTCCAAGTATTTTATAGTAGTTTTTAAGTGTTGTTATAATGTTTTCAATTTCAGGGAAATGAATAAACGCTTAACAGAAGAGCAAGCCAGGAAGACATTTGAGAGAGCTATGAAACTGGAGCAAGAATTTACTGAACACTTCACAGGTGTGTTTTGCATGGGGCTTCCCTTGCCAGAGTTGAAATTTTATTGCTTGCTGTAAAATAGTAATTGCCTTACTGCTGAGATAAGGCTGAACTTTGTTTTTTGGCTGATCTGTGGTTGTTTTGAGGCACAGAGCCATCTTAGTACCTCTACGGTGATTTCAATTTGACCAATTAATTCAATGTATACAAAAATCTACTGGGAGATTATTTTAGGCTTTAAAAATTGTGACACTTTCTACCATTTTTCCTAGGTATGCAGATGTTTGCTTTGTTGATATATTGTAAGCTTAAAGCTTTTTATTCGCAGAGCTGAGGTTGACCAGCAAAGCTCCCTGTAGAAAATTTTTTTCGATCAGGAAGTAAAGAACGATGGTAATTAATTAAGCATCTGGAAATTGGGCTCTGCAGCATTATTGTACTTAGCAAATCAAATTTGTGTATGCCATGGTCCTGGCTGTAACAGCAAGGGATGGGCTGCAAGCACTCAAACTGTGCTAACTGTTTGCGTTGTGGCTTGCAGTAGGAGGAGATTGACAAAGCCAGGTTTTTCAGGAGGACAGAAATGAGCCTTCCCTATTCCTGTCCTAGATAGGCACTCACTCCTTTCCTTTCTGTTACGTTCTCTTTTGCACTGTTTCAGTGTTTGCTGCCCCATTCGCGTAACTTTCTGTGACATGACTCCTTTGCCCAGTTCCTTCTTCCATGTGGGCAGAGCTGTGAATGCAACAGGCCGCTCCACCTGGGCAGGGGCACAGGAAGGGGTCATGGTTTCATGTAGGAGGAAGATAGAGGAACCAGTAGACTCACTGCCCCAGTCTTCCCACTGCCTTGTTCTCTGCATTGTGTGCTACCCACACAATGAACAACTTGTGTCCATCCCTTTTTGTCCCATCTCCCTCCCTCCCTCTCTGCTGCCTCGCCGCTGTCAGTTTATCCCAATACAGCATCTAGCTCTCCCAGCCTTCGCATAGCGCGCTCTCTGTCTGCACCCAGAAAGTTACGGGACTCTCCACCTACATTGTGAAATCTTCCTATTACAGAGTCTATTACCAAATGAATTGCAAATGTGTCAGCTTTGTTGTTCAGGAAACAAATGAGTTTATTTTAATAGATATTAATGAAATAGTTAGCTGACATTCTCCTAGGCTGTCTCAGGACATTATATAGGAAATTTTTTCAGGAAATTAAGAGACATAATTCAAAAACCTATGATCATTTTTCAGTGCTCTAGTGCTCTGGGCCATGTTTCTTCTCGGAAGTAGAAGGCTTGTTGACAAAGGAAGACAGCAATGATCACACATCTGTCCTTGGTAATCCAGTTCAGGCTAGAAATCATTTCTGAATCTGTTTGAGATTCTTGAAGACGTTACAAATCCCAGTTACTAATTACAGTTTGGAGGCTGCCACCCATATGAGTCAGGTGCTAAAAGAGAATGTGTGAGCATTCCCTGTTAAAAAATACCACAGCTCGTGTGGGGTAACTGAAATCAACTTCATCAGCAGCTTAAGTTTAAACAGATTTAAACTTTGCACTGAAGCATGTGAAGAGCACATCCATCTTCTGTTTTGAGGGTATTGAGCTTTGGAAGAGGTGTGGTTAAATACAGCTGCAGAGAAGTAATATGCTGAAGCTTATAGCTATTGGCATTGCAAAGACATTTCTAAATCTTTCTAACGCACTGTTGTGCTGTGAATATCACACTTGACCTGTAATAATTGAACAGCCTCCTCCCACAGGCACTGTGACAATGGACTGCAGATGGGGAGAAAGTTTTTTAAGAGTTGGGAATGATAGGTAGCAATAAAAAGGAAGTAATTTGCATGAAAGCAAAGCTCGGAAGCAGCAGTAATATATTAACGCACAAAAGAGTGAGTCTGGCCTGTCTCCAAAATTCTTTCATGCTGAACAATGTTTCTCCGATTATCAACACTGAGATGGCAGTCCTAATTAAAAAGAAGTTGCTATCTCACAGTGATTGCTTTTTCAGACTGAAGTGTGGTAAGAACAGCTTAAACTTCATCCTCATTTTCACCAGACTGTACTTTACTCTAAGTCAGAACACGTCCATATTGGCTCATTCCTAATTATTTTCTAGCCTTGGAGAAAATATATCTAACTTACACCATCTGAATATAAATTGCACTGTTAATTATATAAGGAAGCCTGTTTTCTGTAAAACTTGAATCTATTGGCTGGGCAACAAACTCCATGAGTTCCTCCTCTTTTTGGCCAAAAGCAAAGGTAGTGCTAGCAGGTAGAAATCCAAAAGTCAGCCAGTCTTGCTGTGAAGTTTCAGGATCCAGACAAGGAGTTCAGCAGCCTGCAGTACAGCAGGCCTGACTCAGACTGACCGTGTAAGGACACAGTCCTGTACTCTGTCTTGCCTTGTTGCGTTGGAAACACCTATGAAAGCTGGACCAAAAAGAGTACTGGAGGATGTGAATTGACTCAGGCAAGTTCTAACATGGTTAGGAAAAGCAAAAAAAACCTCCGCAGTTGTGTGTGTATACTTGAGTAAAGCAAAAACCACTTCCTAACCCCAAGCCCCCGAGCGGGAGCAATGGCGCTTTGTGTGTCCTGCAGTCCCATCAACAATGTGCTTCACTCCAGCACAGAAATCAGAAATCTCGATGGGTGTCTGTTCCTTCAGCAATCTCAAATCCTCTTGCCACTCTGAGAGGAAAGAACAGCTTGGCTTGGAACATCTTGGTTTCTGTATGGAACTAGGAAGGATGATTGCTGATTGCCACATTATGTTTTGCAGCTATTGTCCAAGGAGACACACTGGAAGAAATCTACAACCAAGTGAAACAGATCATAGAGGAACAGTCTGGGCCTTACATCTGGGTTCCAGCAAAGGAAAAATTATGAAAACAGATTTTTATTTTTCATTTTCTAACTGACATCACCTACTACATCTGACGACTCTTAAGCCCTTCCAGTGGAGCCTGCCTCTAGTTCCTTCCAGCGTGATTCATACCCTAACCATCACATTCTGCAGTTCCCATAATGCTTTACATTTGGTGTCTCTCTTAGTTTAAATAATTTGTATTATTGTGTGTTGTTGGTTTGCCATTTTTCAAACATGCCAGTGGAATGGCCTGACCAGCTATTAGTTTGGGGTGGGGGTGGGAGGGAATTGCTTGGAAAAATTCCTTAATGTTTAAGGGAAAGTAACTTTCAAAGATTTTTCAAAAAAGCTTTATAAACATTCTTTTAAAATTTCATAACAATTGAAAGAAAAGTTGTATTGAAGGAAGTTGTAAATCATGAGTAACTTTGCACGCTTAATTTTAATAGCATGGTTTGGTCAGGGCAATCAATTTCAGGTTTTATTTTCTGAGTTAAATTCTTTTCTCACAGTATTTTTTTTTTTTTTTTTCTTTCCAGGCAGTTAGAGAGAAACTTTGAAATTTTCAGTTAACATTTTCATTACTCCCATTACTACTCCTCAAGGGATATTCATTTTCATAATTTCATATGGATATTCTTATAATCTATTTTTTCATTTTTTGCCAATAAAATTGCTAGGGACAAAGATGTGTAATGTTTTTAATCTTCCTCATGAAACACTATAAATAGTGTCTTACAGAAATCGTTTATAGGTAATGGTCATCACGCTTTTTGAGCCTGAAATATGTTTAGGTGCTAGGAAACCTTGTATTTTTCAGAGGAATGCCAAATTTCCATTGGCAGTAATACAGAATACAGCTGCAGAGATGGACATTAGGGCAATGAGAGAATGATTCATAGCCTAAAAATGTGTGTGTTCTTAGGGGTCAGATTTTAATGAATATTTTACCCACAATAACTGCCTATTTTGTTATAATAAATATATATATATTAAACTTTCTTTAACTAAACTCTGTAACTATGGGAATTATTTTCTTTACATAGTTGCGCACACGTATAAATATATATATATAAAATATATATTTTTCTTTTACCACCTACTCCTAGCTTTTTGTTTTGAATACAAAATTAGAATTTACCTTCCTTAATCGCAAGAAATCAAACGGGCTATGGTGGCTGGGCATGAAGTCCAGGGGAATATTAGTTACAAGAAAATACATGCAAGTTCTCCTCTTTTCTACGGAATTTCAGGTGTTTGTCTTACCCCCAGCTCCTTATAATATGCATGTCTTAACCAAAGGGAGAATTCAGAGTCGACAATATGTTTTATTTTTCTGTACATGTTCATCTGGGATTGCAGAGGCACAAGATCTTCCATTTGCAATGCACAAACTTCTGTGCCGAATGTTATAAATACATTGTACCAAAACATGGAACTACCTTCAGTAATGAAATTCTCGAATTCCCGTATTTGGTACCTGACATTGCTTGTTTGAAACTGATTGTTTATAAGAGGGATGTACTTAGGGCAGTCACGGGGCAGTCACGCAACCAAATTAGCTTTGGTTTGTAAAGAATTATCAACACTATCCATTCCATTTGTTAGAAAGAGGAGAACAGCTAATAAACTTTATTGTACAATGTATTTGTCAAGTGTGTTTTTAATCAAAAGAAATACAGGTGGTGTAGCATTTTAAAATGATTGACTCAGACTGTAAATGAAATTAAAGGGTTAGAGGACCACTGGTGACCAGATTGGGATTAGTGAGGTCACTACATTAAAAGCAGGTTTAAACTCGGGACACAAATATTGCTGGTGTTATGTGGAATGCTTGTAAGACTCATAAGCATAAGCTGCTGGTTTATGGCCCAAAATAATTTTTGGTTTTTTGATTTGTGAAGTAGGTGTGCTGTCTTTCTGAGATTCCTGTCTATGGAAGTGCAAGGTGTGTAAATTTAATGCAACTTTTGATAAATAATGTCATAAATTTTTAAAGGAGCTAAAAGTGTACTATTGTCTGCCTCTTCGAAAGTGACTGATTATCTGAGGCATATAGTGAGATGCTAAAGCAGACCGACTTTAAAACAGATACAAGTATCTCCATCTCAGCTATCAAATCTAAAACCATAACAACATCTGAAATCTCTATGGCTTTTTTTAACCCATCAGAGAGAGTCCTGTTTAGCTGAGCAGATATGTAAGAAATTATTCTTTCATATATTGGTACGTCTGAATAAATTTCATAGCCCTTTTCTACTAGGCGTTTGTCACGTACTAGCCAAGCGTCACTGAATGCTACCCTCAGACTAAGTCCAGATATTTACCTTGCACAGTTGTTGTGCTAGAGTGAAAACAAGTCTTGGATCAAGAAAACTCAAAGGACTCGGGGGTATCTTTACTTTTTTGCCTTTGTTTCAGATGTTGCCCTTGAGCACTGGCAGAAAAGTTGATTCTGACAGCCCTGATGCTCCAAGTTGACTTGTTTTATCATGTAATTTTTAGGATTTTGCATTAATTGGAGTTTCTCTGGATCTCATTTTTCCAGTATCAGGTGCTGATACGTCTTTGAATCTTGGGTACACTTTACTTTCTCTATTTAAGATACGTTTTACAATACGTGCACTTGTAAGGCTTCCAGTTTAACAGCTAGGGTATTAGGAAATCCAAATGGTGTCATGCTGATATACTACCACTGTACTTTTGCTGGCCCAGTGAAGGCACCATGGGTTTTCTTCGCTACCTGCTAACCCAACTTCTATACAGAAGCATGCTTGATGAAGTATTTGCTGCTCTCTATTATTATTTTAAGTTACATTATATTAATGATTTCATTTGCGAGCATTTTTGATAAATTGTGCTGAAAATCAGCTTAAGAAGTTTAATATCTCCTTAAAGCATAGATATTAATAGTGTTATGAATAAAACAGGAAAATGAACTAAATTATCATGAACGGTGCTTGTGTGATGGTTTAGAGGGGATTGCATTCAGAATAGGCCAGGCCTCCTGTACAAAAATGCTGCTCCTCTACCTTCTGAATGTAGAGGGTCAGAAGTACCACAGGAGAGCCCTGGCACCAAATTAATTTCCTATTAATCTTGTCCTTGCAGTCTTAAGCAACTGGTGTTAGGACTGCGTATCAGTCTTGTCATCTATATATGTGTGTAAGCTTCACCGCAAGCATTGGAGAGCTTGAGAGGTTAATCTGGCCGGTGGGAAGGGCATAGGGAGGATCTGAATAATGGATCCTTCCAGAAATCTGGAAGGGCTCTAGTGATAACAGTGTTCTTTAGCACTTTAGACAACGAAGGAATGACTAATTCCAGATGGTCTAGGCAGCCAAGAACCAGAGTTCAACCATAAGGTTTTGTTTAAGAAGGAGGTCTGGAGGGCTTGTTACCTTTTTTTTTTTTTTTTTTAAGGTCTAAACTTGAAATAACAATTAATTGAACTCTGCTGTTTTCTTACAGATACTAGTGGGTGTTAAAGCTATCAGCCTGGCCAAATTGCAGCAAGTAGCTAGGTAACTCCTGAAAGCATCCGTGCAACATTACTGGATGTATAGATGGTCCGAAGGATGTTGTGTTGTTCATGCATGCTCTCAGTAGAAGATGGTAGAGATGTCTGCATGGGGATTCATGGTGGTACACAGCTGTTCTTGTTCTGGTAGCTGGGTACTGGGCTGAGAAATGGCAGTCAGCAGAGTGAAGTGGCATTAAATGGCTTTTATCTAAACAATGTGTTACAGGCAGCTGCAGTTCATTGCCTAATGAGAAATGAACAAGAGGGCAGCACAAATGAGTGTTGCTCTAAGAAAGCTAATCTAAAAGTCACAGCAGCTTTTAACAGAGCTATTATCAGCAGAGTTTTTACTCCTTCTGCAAGAGAAGCCTTCCTGGGCCTTCTCTAAAACCTTAAAAAAAAAAATCAAACTACTTCAGGTGTTTCACAGCACTTGCTATTAAATTTCAGGAAATGTACACTTGGCACGCGCTGTGCCACCTGTAAAGTGTGCAGGCTACCCCGGTGTAAAAGCCTGGGTTTCTTGTTATGAAAATCATGACAACGCTGAGAATGTGGCAAAAAAAGTGACAGTCTGCTCTGTCAGAATCTACTTTTTTCTTCCTGAGCCCCGACAGAGGGAATACACAGAACTCATACTTAAAATGAGGATTGCTTTATACAGCCCTGCCTTGCCCCCCTGAGTCAGTGTGTAGCTGTTTATCTAAGTCTATAGGTGGTGCTAAAGCAGCAACAACCTGGTTGGTGCCCCAGATATTTTGCAATTTCCTAATCTGAACTTTTTTTTGCAAGTGTAGAGGCAGTGTGAAGAGAGGTAGGCTTTTTTTTTTTTCCCTGTAGTCATTATGAGGTGACGTGTGCCAAGGTAAGCAAGATAAATTGTTGAGCAAAGTGCACCTGCAATTGAATGCTGCTGATTTTCACCGAACAGCAGGCTGGGGAGAGCACACTTGCAGAAGCATTGATCTCTGGGGGTTCTGAAAGCTGGAAAAAGCACAAATCCCAAAATTCATACCATGAAGAGCTCCAGACATCTCTTCTATCTTCTCTTCTTTCGTGCTGGTAAGTGTCCTCCAGAAACTTCTGCTGTGCATGGTGTCTTTGGGGTTGACTTCTACGGGATGTGAGAGAGCAGGGGGAAACTGGAACCATTTCAGAATGAATCTCATATGGCCAGGAGAAGAAATAAAAAGAAAGAATAGAAAAAATAGGAAAGGAGTAGAAAAAGCTGTATTGAGCACCATGTATGTGTCTTGAGTCATTAGTGTAAAATGTTGTATTTCCTCACCACTGAATCTACTTCTTTTGGTTCAATGGTGTCTATTTCTCATAAGTGTGAACAGTTCTATGTCACTGATTTTGTAAAAAGAGAAATAAATGCCTTATTCCTCTTACGTTCTATGTGACATGTTGGGTTTCTCCTGTCACTCCCAAGTTCTAATGGTGAGTGCTTTTAAGTTCACCGGAGGTGTGGATGCTGTTTCTGAAGCACTCCACAGTCCTTCAAAAAGAAATGATCCTATGTTTTTCATTTTTTACATTGTTTCTGTTGGAAGCCCTTGATAGTGTATTAGTAGCTCTACTGATGTTACACAATGTAGTACTATTACTTTCAGCAAAGGAGTTAATTGGATGTTTGATAGTTACATGTGTGTTTAGGATCTTGAGCATATTTCAAGTGGAAGTTACCAGCTCCTGCCATTTCATGCTTTATGTGTATCTACAGATAGACAGAAGGGACAAAATTGTGAATAAACCTGCTGTTTTAAGATGTTCTTGGCTGGCAAGGGGAAGAGAGGATAACTACAGGCCTTGTCTGCTCAAGCTCGCTTCAAATGGGTTAACTTGTAAGGAAGGAAATGGGAAGTTGCCCAGGATCTGGCTTCTGCATAACAACAAAGTTCAGCAGTTTGGAAAGCAACAAATTAATTACCTCTTTTAGATGAGTGGGGGGAAAAAGCAACAGATTCATGCTGTTTCCCAATCTTGGCTGAAATATAGAGCCAAATGAGCTTTGTTTCATGTTTCAGGTGCATATGGCTAATAGTGCATTGTCTCATGTGTGTTTATACCTAAAACCAGAATGCTGAGGCTGAAGAATGGCACTCAGCCATACATACTGAGATGCTGAGATGGCAATTTAATTTCCATTTGCTTGCGTTTAAGAGAAGAAAAACCCAAACCCCTTTATCAATGAAAACCTAGGTTCTTCCTCCTGCCCCAAGAAATTAACGGTGAAAATTTCAGCCAGGTAGATGTTGAGTTTCTGTGAGGTGCCTATTTACCATGACCCTGTTGTACCTTTCTTCTAACCATTTTGGTTCTCAGAATTCTTGCAACTCAGAGGTGGGCAGTTGTTTCTCCCTCTGCTAGCAAATGCTGCCATGAAAACTTCCTGTAAGCTTTCCAAGTCTGACTTAATGTTTGTTGACAGCAGTAGAGTTGGCTCTGAGTTGCAGTGGAACAGTAACTCAAACCTTCTGTTTCAGTATCGGATACAAAACAAGCTTTATGGCATCAACAATCTTGTTTAGTCTTCAGCCACTAAGTCAGAAAACGTGCATGGCTACTATTGAGCACTAGTGGAGTAATTTTAACTTGCAAAGTTAGGTGTGGTATCTGAACTGCATGGTGGGGAAGTAGAGGGCCAGTTATAGGTTTTAAAAAACACATGACAAATAACTTAAGAATCGAAATTGTAGAGAAGCAATGGAGTGTGGTGCCCCCTGCTTAAGAAAATGATCTGTGCCTGTTTATCAGCATAAACCGTATGTGCATATGCATTTTATGTATAGCTGCACCGTTTGTGCATGATGACACGTCCTTATAAAAGCAACAAAGTGCTTGTAGCTTTGGTGCTTAGAACGATAGCATTTGGGTCTGCTGAAAGACACTTTTCTTCACTGATTAATGGAACTCCTAAATCCTAACTCTCCACTCCCAAACTTGAGTCTTTTCATTCATGGAGCTGCCCTCCCCTTTTCGTGACTGTGGAAATGGCCTCTTATGAAAGAGAAGAGACAAGTTTACTTTTCTAGTTTTCATAACAAGCCTAGTGTCAGGGCTCTTGAGCACCCAAGATTGCTTGTTTTATTCAGACCAAAAGGGCTTGGGGCAGGACTCCAGGTACTAACTAGCAATGCTTGAGACAGAGTTGTCTTTGGACAGTCTCTTTGGTTTTGTAGCTTATCATTTTAAATAATAATTTTCAACACTTTTGACTCGAGAACAGATGATGTATTCTGCAAGGTTTCAAGAATAGTCTGGACGCTCTGACCTATTCCATGGTACCCATATTTCTTGTATCAGAAACAAACGCCATCGGGTTTCACTATCCAAGTCTAAGCCTATCCTGTTTCCAGTCCAAAAAACTTAAGTATTCATGTTAATCTGAATGAAAGTGGAAACCATCTGTAAAGACTCACTGTTGAGAGAGCCCTGATTTCTTCCTGTTTTGGGAGGAGGAACGGAATGAAAGGTTGGTTCTTTGGAACCTTTAAATGGTAAGCACTGATGTGTGTTATAATATTTTCTCTCGGTGTTGTGTTTGCAGCTCTCAGCCTGGAACGTATCCGGTGGTGCACGGTCTCCGAGCAGGAACTTTCCAAGTGTAATGACATGAGTAAGGCCTTTGGTGGGGCTGGCATCCTTCCCCCTCTGGAGTGTACAGAGGGGGGGTCAGCTGCTAACTGTACCCAGATGATCAAGGTGAGTTGTGAGTGACAGCAGTGTCATTGATTTAGTTTCCCTGTGTGCCTAATAATAATCCAGTGGTGATGCACACAGCTCTGCGGTGAGTATCTGACGATCCAGGCAGCTCACCATATGCTTCCTGGCATTCATGTCTCTGAGAAATCAAAGCATATATTTTTAAGAAAAAGGGCATAAAGGTATAGATATGAACTTGAATATCAGAATGGCCCGATGTCGTCTTTGGCTAGTCACATATGGCCCGTCATTAGAAACACAGCAAAGCTCTTAAATATTTCCTCCCAGATGCTAATCTTTGATTTAGGAATTGTGTCAGATTTATTTAGCAGATATTTAAGAAGGGATGGAGCTATAAGATGCAGACAGTAGTTAAAGCCGTGCTGCTGAGCCTGTAAGTAGATTGTATTTTGATAAACTCTGGATCAAACTCACATTTCAGAGTCCCATCATGGAAATTGCTGTATATACAGATGAGATGAGTGTAAAGCCAAATCAAATCTCCTAATACAAGAGAGGGACAAAGCAGCAGTAGGGTGAGCATAGGGCCAGCAAACCCAGCTGTAAGAATTCAGCTGCCCAGAGCATGCTCAGCTTCCAAAAGGAGCACAGCTCTGGAGAAGGTTTTAAAGGCTGTAAACATGAGGTTTTGCAAAATGATGTATAGAAAATAATTCCCTCCTTAGGAGGGGGTGGGAGGCAACACGTGGGTATTGGAGGAAGTGTGGAGGCAGGTAATCATGGTCGTCTTCACTGGCAGAGTGTGGGGGAAGGGGAAGATGTGTGGCTGTGTTAATAAATAATATTCTTTGTGTATCCTGTGCAGACATGTCCCAAAGCCAGGGTTTTGTGGAGGAGATGCAGCCTTTCAAGGACAAGAGGTTCAGAGCCAGGAAATGAGGCCCAGCAGAGTAGTTTGAAGGCAGATGAGGCCTGTGGTTCTGTAGCCAGAAAAAGGGAATAGATTTCAGAAACTGGTATCTTGTAATTTTTTTGTCAACAGAAACAGAAGTGTTGTCAGACTACTAAAAGTACCACATTGCCTCTTGAGAAATAGTGTTCTTGAGCGATTCAAGACTGTATTGAAGGATATTAGCAGCTGATATCAGTACATACATGGATCTTACCTCGGGATTAGACAGGAAATACTTTCTAATGTCAGATCTTAAAACCATTTGGGTGATTGCTGCATTCCACAGAGGGACCGGTTAGACTCTCCAAAGCAGGTTATTAAAGGGGCTGATGAGTGTCTTGCTTCTGAAACACAGTGCACACAGAATTGCATTGGTAAGCCATTGCAAGCAGGAGGCATCTATCTAAAGACTTTGATTTCTGTAACACTTGATTAGCTGAACTCAGAACCCTGCAGGCATGGGTCAGTAGCTTTCTGATAAAATGAATCTCCACCGTAAGGCTTCAGATGAGGCTTTGTCCTTGAGTCCTCTTTTTTCTTGTGCTAATAATCTACTAAATGTTTAAGCTGGCCTACTCTGTGTGGGACTATGTGGAACTCCTGAGTCTGCATCTGCACTGAACTCTGCTCTTTGCGGCCAAAAAGGGAGTGGGATGCAATGGCTGAAGAGGCAGAGATATGCTGTTTTATAACACTACATAACTTGGACTTAGTCCTGTGAATGTGTTAGCACATGGATAAAGTAAAAAACCTTTTTATTTGAAGATGCTTAAAAATCGAGAAATGTCTAAATATTAAACTAGGGAACCTGACAATATTTAATGTGACCAGAACTATTCTTCAGGAGCTTTAAACACTTCTGCAGGTAATTCTCAAACCTCAAATTCTCAAATTGTGTATTTCAATGTTGTGGTACACAGAAATGAAGTCCCTCTGAAAATAATTAACAGGGTATTACCATTACACATACACTTATAAAAAAAAATATGTGGAATAATCCTGTGCTTTTGCTAAATGTAGGGCAAATGCTTGCTGCAAAAGAAAAAAAGTAATATCCACATTGTTGCTGATAGGCCACCTCAGCAGTGATTGTGTGCATTTAAAAGAGAGGTCTGTCTCCTGTAAACTGCTTCATGTTAAATACAACAATAACCACTTTTTCTGTCTTGTTCTGCTATTTATACAATTGTTTATACACAAGCTATTGATAGGAGGCTCTTCTGCTACACAGAGCTCAAAGGCTCAGCTTTCCAATCAGAAAAGTGCTGTCTTACATGGAAATATGTCCATGTAATATAGTCCTTGCCTTCTGTGGCCAGCCCTTCCCATTTTATTTGCTGATTCCTGGCCACCACCAATTCTAGAGGCACATTTTGTTCTTCCTGAGGGTAAGGTCCTTGTAATTTCCACGTCCTCTCCTTCCTCTCACTGTCAGGTGTCCCTTCTGAACAACAGGCGATATTTGGTTCCTAAACTGCTGTCCTGTGCTCTGACTCTCACCGGTAGAATATCAGATCTGGTTATGCCAGAGAGATTGTGTCTGTTCTTTAAGATACAAATATTTCCCAACCCCAGTTTCTCTCCAGATTCCCTTGGAGCTTTGTTCAGTTCTCATTCATGAGAAGCAACTCTCAGGATAGCTATTGTTTCAGCTAATTAATGAATATCATCTTTTTTTCTCCCTTGAGCCAAATAAGTAAAATATTTCAAATTGCGTGGCAACTTCAAACCTAATTTAGGTATCAACATCAATGTATTACCTATGCTCTCACATGATCCTTTAAAAATTTTCAGGCTTTTAGTGTGACAGCCTGTGGGAAATTGCTGTGGTATACTAGGCAGCAAAGTCCTAGCCCTACCCTAACCAATGCTCAGCAAACTGACAAGGGACAGGTGACCTAAATTGCCTCCTCCAGTGTGCACCAGAGGTTAAGCAAACTGATCAGAAACTTGGAATCAGCTTAGAAATGCAAGTGCTGATTATTTTCTCAGCAGTATCTTGTCTCTGTGCAAGATGCCCTCTCCTGGCTTCCACTAGGTTCAGTACACAGTGCGAGCCAGGTGCAGCTGATCGGAGGTGTGCGTAGCAGGTCTGTAGTCCTTGCTGCTGTGGGCAGTCCTGTCCTGTGCTACCCAGAGCAATCCTGCATCTGTG